GACAAATCTGTTTGTTCTCCTAGCAGTCCATGGTATGTTCAATACTATTCTCCAACACCAAAGCTCAAAGGCATCAATTCTCCCTCTATCACCCCTAGTCATTGTCCAGCTCTCTGATGCATAGCATGTAATTGCAGAAGAGATAAAATGCTTCTTCTTTGGAAAAAATGCTTTTCAAAAGAAAATACTAAAAAACCCATTTGAAAATTAACATGCACATGCAGGCCTATAAACACAGCAACTCATAAAATGTTATTTTCTAACTCAGTCCCACAGGACAAATACTGTATAAAACCATTATGAGTTTGAGAATCCAAGGAGGGGAAGGGAGGGTGGAAGCAAAGCGGGGAGGATTGAAAGAAGGGTTTATCACAGGATTTGCACAATTAGATGGGGGGGGGGGGCGGTGAAGGAACAGCGTGAGACTTGATCAGGACAAGCTGTAGGGCCACTGCTCATCGGTTCCCATCTCGGTCTTCATAGATGGGGGGGGGGGGCGGTCACATACTTTCTCTGAAAAGCCAGATAATAAATATGTTAGGGTTTGCAGGCCATAAGATTTCTGTTGAAATGACTCGACTCTACCTTCATAGCATAAAGTAACCATACATAAAACACATGAATGAGCATGGCTATGTTCCAATTAAATCTTAATTTGAATTTCATGTAATTTTCACATATTGTACATTTTTTCCCCTCAACCACTTAAAAATGTAAACACTCCTCGCTCACCCGCAGTACAGAAACAGGTGGTAGACTGAACGTGGCCCACAAAGCATAGTTTTCCAACCCCTTTATTAGGTTACAAAGTGACTTTTCTCAAAATACCTGTTTTTCACAAAGGGTAGAAATGCTACATAATATAAGCCAAAACCAAGCCAATTCCAACTCATAGTAACCCTTTAGGACACAGAAGAACTGCCTCGTAGGGTATCCAAGGCTGTGGGTCTCTGGAAACAGCTTTTCTCCTGCAGAGTAACTGACGACTTTAAACTGCCGACCTCTGGTAAGCAGCTGAGCATCTTAACCAGTCCACTGCCAGGGCTCCTGCTCAGTAATAAAGTGGTGTGTCCCTTGGGCATCACCACCAGTCTGTGTTTCATGTTCTGTTGTGCGGCTGGTAGCTGGGTAACGATGGAGTTTGCACGTAGAGCATCTTTTTGACATCGCCGTCACTGCATTTTGGTAGTTGCACTTTTGTAATTCTAGGAAAAAGTTCTAAAAATCTATAAATGAGATTATTTCTAGGGAGAGCAAATTGAAATGCACATTGGCTTATAAGAAACCCATTTTTTCTAAGGCTTAGGAAACAAGAGTATTTCCCATTTTATTGCTTCAAACTTTTATATATGGTGTCAAAATTATCCTCAATCCTAAAACAAGGTAGACTGAAACACTGTTAATTTCTCCAATGACTGTATATTAGTATCACATTAAGATGCATCTAATTCTAGTGGAAAATGTCCTCAATGAATGTCTCTTCTTATTGCTACTTTATTTTCTTATTTGGCAAATCTGCCTGCTGCACAACACAGATCCTTCTGGGAAATCTTAAACCCGTATTTAAAGGATATGGCTAGTTTGAATGAAGTTAAGGCAGCGATGAACAGCAGAGGTACTGCAAGGGACCTATGAGATTATAAGAGCTTCGTTCAGTACACTCGCTTCTTCTTTAAGTAGGTTTCCATGTAATATGCTCCTGTGCCCTGAGAATGTTGGTCAACAAGTTCAACCGAACTGCCTTCTGGGGCAGAGATAAGATAGGATGAGCCTCGCTTTTCATTTCTTAATGATGACACCTATGAAAAAGCACATTAGATATTAAAACCTAGTAACAAGGAAAGATTGGAACTCTCATACACTGCTGGTGGGACTAAAAAATGGTACAGTCATGCTGGAAGGCAGCTTGATGTTTCCTAAAAGAGCTGAACTTAGAAATTCCCTATGACCACCCCCCCCCCCACTGCTAGTAATATACCCTGAGGAAAATAGAACCAAGACACACAGATTTGTACACTGATGTTCATAGCAGCGTTATTCACAAAAGCAAGAAAATGGAAAGAGCCCAAATGTCCATTAACAAACTAATGGATTGAGAAATTGTGGTATGTTTATATGCTGGGATAGTATGAAGCCCTGGGAGCAACAATGTAAAAAAATACAGCATGTGAGAGGCTAGAGAGCATTATGCTGAGTGAACTGTCTCAGAAGCACAAACACTGCTTAAGACCATTATTGTAAAGGTAGGGTAACTAGTAAGATGTTTATAAAAGTCCAAAGGGGGAAGAAGAGGGAAGAGACTTGAGGGTGGGGAGGGGGGTCACAGAGTTCCATGGATGGAAGGAGGGGGTGAAGGAATTAGGAAAGATCAAGTGGGGACTTGAAAAGACGGGGTGAAAGTAGGCACAGATCAGTGGTGACTGGTTTTATGAAACAGTTTATGGGATGATCGTATGATTCACAATGTGAAAGAAAGAATGTGTGAAACAATGTATATGAGTGAAACCCAACAGACGAATTTTGTATGCAAACCAACAAAAAATATGTTTTAAAAAATCTAATGTGTACAGCAAAAACCATTCTTCTGATTTCACGATTAAAAAATCAGAATATAAAACTTTTATATAAAGATCACCCTTGAAGCATATACATAATACAAATTAATTTCTGAGTGCCTCTCTGCTCCCCTTCAAACATTTTGGGAAAAGGAAAAAAAGCAAAAAAAAAAAGCACTGTAGTTACTCTGTTCCTCAAACCCAGGTAAGCCCTACCAAATCAAAATACTGAGAATTTACATTGCTGTGAGGAAGAACAGTGGCTGAGAAGTTACACTCCAAAATAAAATAGATGTGAGGTACACCTAATAAAAAGAATGGCGAGAGAATAAGCCAGGTGCAAAAACTAAGAAACCACGTTGAGAAATAACACGATATGCTTTACACAACAGTGAAAATGCAAATTTTGGTCTGTAGGTGTGTGGGACACGTGCCAGGGGAGTGTGCTGAGACAAAGCCTCTGGTTCTGTGTCCAGATTGTATCTCAGGAAGGTTTATGACCAGCAGGGCCGGATGGTCTCCCATCTAGTCACAGTAATCAATACAGCAAATTGGGTGTGCGGCACAAATGTGATCCCTGAACCGCTCTTAGTCTGGCTTTTGGAAAATACTGTGACAAGCTGTTGATTTTGTTATGTGCCGTCGCTGCGTCAGAACCGAGCCATCGCTGACCCTTCAGCAGGTTTTCAGAGGCAGTAATTGCACAGGAGGAGATGCTCATCTTTCTCCCACAAAGCAGGTGGCTGGATTCAAACTGCGTGCCTTCGAGACTGTGTGTAGATTCTTACCACTAGGCCAGTGACAAGCTTTGCATGCTTTAAATTAGGAGCTAGGTTTTGTCAGGTTGACTAAAACTCAGTGACGCTGTAACAGTGGATCTGGACCTTGCCCAATCTTGTGCCATCGTCTTTGACACAGGAGAGCCTGCTGTACAGTCACTGTCAATCTCTCCGGTTGAGTCTTCCCCTCCTTCACTGACCCTCACCTTTTCCAAGCACGAAGTCCTTTCCCAAGGACTGGCTCTTTCTAACAACATGCTTCAAGGATGTGAGTTGCACCATCCTCCCCTCTCAGGAGCACTTTGACTCTACCCTCTCCAACACGTTTGTTTGTTCTTTTTGGCAGTCCATGGGATAGTTAGTATTGTTCTCCAACACAACAACTCAAAAGACATTGATATTTCAACTGTCTTCACTGCCCAACTGTCAGATTCATAGCAAATAAATGAAAAGTGCGTACCAGCTAGAAGGTTAAAGGAATCAATTATCAATCATCCATGTTAAAAAGAGGAAGGACAGCAGGCCAGAACCCATTCTTTTAAATCCAGAAATTTTATTTTCATCATCTTAGGGGTTCAGCAAAAGAGGAAGACTCTCAGCAAGATGGATTGACAGAGTGACTGCAGCTATGGGACCAAGTATATCAGAGATGATGAAAATGGCACAGGACAGGGCAGGGTTCAAATCTATTGTTCACTGGGCCTCTATGAATTATACTCTACTCAGCAACATCTAACAACAATAACAACAACAACTGAGAAGGGGAGGAAGTGGGAGTGTAGAGGAAAAAGACAGACTGACAGCCGAAGCTGGTGGACACCACCAAGAGATCGATCATAACATTCTACTTTTTTTTTCCCGATTGTAGCTTTTATGTCATACTGTAACAGTATTCCATAACCTCATAAAACTGTGGAGATTACTTAAGGTGATAATACATATCACGTACTAGTTTAGCACTTGCTGGGGATTCATTACATACATAACAATTATTACTATTTTCAGAAGAGAAATGTAGTACTGACTGAAGACTTCAATCCTTAAAGGAGGTGGAAACCAAAGTAAGAAAGGAATCAGAGGTGGTTGAAATTTGGAATTTACTCAAACACAGCTATTCTGTACTTGGACCAAATAAATGTCATCTGCTTACTTGTTTTTTAAAAAAATAAATAAATAAATTTGGAATTTAAACTGCCAAGGTCGAGCCACTCTCACGCAGAACTTCCCGGGCCTTAACTCCTGGCCTGCCTGCCTATGCCAACCTACTTTTGTATAGCTTTGAGTATTCTATAATAAAAGTTGTTTGAAGTTTCCCATCATGACCAATATCCTAGGGATGAGCTGCCTGCAACAAAACTGCTTCCTCACCTGCTTGTGTGGAGTCGGTTTGCCCCCCTCCCTCCCTAACTGCCGAACCCTCTCATTAGTTTCCCTGAGTCCCTTTGTTGGCCTGGTGATCCTAACTGCTGTGTGCTGGGGGGCCCCAAACCACTAAAACTGTCAGCCCTTTACTGTGAGAACTCTTCTTAGCTGCCTTCCTTGAACACATCACCAGTGCGTTCCACGAATGACACATCCCTGCCCACTAAAGACAGAGTCATAAACACGCACACCTCACTCTAGACATCTAGAAAACACACTTCTCATCTCGTATTCTCCTCAGTCCCCTTTTCTGCTGGGTTGTAATCCAACAAGTGCTGGTGGGACAGTGGTTAAGCACTCAGCAGTAAGGCACAGTAAGTAAGTAAGTAAGTAAGTAAGGTCAGCAGTTCGAACCCACCAACTGTGGATCTGCTTCTGTGAAGATTACTGCCTAGGAAACCCTGTGGGGTCGTCTTGCCCTGTCCTATGGGATCACCGTATTTGGAACTGATTCCATGGCACGGGGTTTGGTTATAGTACGTAGCAATCCACTGATTGGTGGCTTAGGGCAAAGCACCAGCCCGTGGCTTAGTCCACAGGGAGCAGCACAACAGACCAAAAGGTGGCGCCTCTCCTGTAGTTTGAACACACCCGCAGCTCTGAGGAAGAACTCTTGTGCTGTTTACAGCCTCCAAAAACCTGCTGGAGGGGCAGCTACAAGTCAATTCCAACTGTCCATCAATAAGGATTTTTGTTGGTTTTCTCAAAAAAACCAACTTGAAGGCGTGCTGGTGGTGTGATAAGCTAGATCTTGCACTGCATATCCAAAGGTCAGAGGTTCATCCACCAGATACTTCATAGGAGAAAGGTGAGCAGTCTTCTTCCAAAAATATTTACAGCCTCAAAAGCCCAATGCAGAATCACTCTGAGTCAATGGCAGTGACTCTATACCCTCTTTATTCTCAGAAGCCAAGTAGGAAATTTATTAGATGTTTTCTTTCAAAGTACTTCCTGAGAATCATCTGAAAGTTTTCATTGAGAAACTGTACTCAAACAACACAAAGAAAATGAAGTACAGGCAAGAAAATGCATGGTGTTCCAGTCAGCACGATACTGGGAGAAAAGAGTTCTTCTACTCTATGAAAGACGTCTAATTTCTAGTTCATGGGCTGTGTGATTCAATAAAGAATGTTCAGCTGATTACAATTTTAGGACAAGCCTCGATTTCTGAGAGAAAGAAAATGTCTAAAGGGCTGGTAAAAAAGAAAGAAAAACCAAATAATAGGGAAAAGAGGATGAAGAAAAAAATTTTCTTTTTCTTCCTTCACGTATTTGCTGACTGTAGATATCCAGACCCTGATAAGTGAAGCCTGAAACGTGACGTTAAAGAGCTCATCTCCCAGGAGGAGAATTAAGAGCAACACAATCCTAAAAGGAGAAAGTCACCAAGCCAACAGGAGAAATACAGGGAAGTGCTGATGCTTTCTCAGAGATGAGAGACGGGGCGATTGAAAGGCTATTGACATGTTTCACAAATAATAGAGAAGATGGTGGGAATATACAGAGCCACTGTCCAAAAGGTATTGGCTGACAGCAAAAAATCAGAGGCAGCACCATATGAACAGGAGCCAGTGGTAATGGAGGAAGAAGATGAAGCTGCACTGAAGTCATGGGCAAAAAGCAAGGCCCCAGGAATCGATGGGACACTAACTGACATGTTTAAACTAACAGATGCAGCCCTGGATATGCTCACCGGTCTATACCAGGAAAGTTGGAGGACAGCTACCTGGCCAACTGATTAGATGTGATCTGTATTTATTCCCATTCCCAAGAAAGGTTACTCAAAAGAATGTGGAAATTACTGAACAACAGCATTAATATCACAAGCACTCAAAATAATACTGAAGATCATTCAAAAACAGCTACAACAGAATACAGACAAGAACTGCCAGAAGTTCAAGCAGAATTTAGAAGAAGTTATGGCACTAGGGATAGCATTGCTGATATCAGATGGAGTATCACAAGAAATCTATTTATCCTTTATTTACTATGCAAAGGAATTTAACTGCGTCAATCATAACAAATTATGCCTATCACTGAGAG